AATACCATGCTGTCTGCTGGCCCATGAAGTGGATACTTTAAAAGGGTGGATTTTATGTTATGTGAATTACAGCTAAAAAAAGTATGAATTGTATTTATATGCATCAGCAGTAAGTAATTGAAATTGACAAAATTTTAAAGTATATTATTTAAAATTGCATCAATAGATATGAATTACTAAGGGATAAATTAACAAAGTATGTGCAAGGCCTACACACTGAGAATGCTGAGAGAGAAGTTGAAGACAACTAAAGAGAGAAATATACACAGTTATGAATTTGAACACTCAGTGTTGTCTCTTTTCTCCGAATTGATTTATAGAGTCAAGGCGGTTTTAACCCCAGTGATGTGACGGTGCTGGGATCAGACCCATCCGTACTGGTTCCTCCCGGGTGCTCATGGATTTAAAGAATGATTTCACTTAACTTTATTTAAATTCAGCCAGAGAGGGACAGAACAGAGCGAGAGAGAGAGAAAGAGAGAGAAGGAAAGTGAGAAAGGAAGCTGCCAGGTCCAGGACTCCAACTGCAGTCAACCATGTAGGAGTTCAGTGCCCTTAACCACCACGCCACCTGCTGGCCCTGAGGGCAAGGTTTATTAGGTGAGGAGGAAAAGCTTCCAATGCAGTAGAAGACAACCTGAATGGGTTGCCAAAGAGAAGCTGGCCAAGGGGTTTTTATCCCAGCAAGGAGAGAGATGCGTGTGCATTTCCCTAAGGGTTACAAATCAGGTGATTTACGTAATTTTCAAACCCCTTTTTGGGAGTATGCTTACAAATCACAAGACTTTAAACATTTAGACCTTAATTAACATTCAGTAGATCTTTGTCTGAGGTCTGTGGCCCATGAAGTTTCTAATTTTTATCACATTTTCTGCAAGTCTGACACAAAGCTTTGTTCTTTGATTTATTTTCCCCTAGTGCTTCTAAAATGTAACCGCATTTAGACCCCCTTATCTTGCAGGTGCAGGCCTGTATGTCATGTTCCCATTTCCCAAAAGACAGATCACGGAGAGTTATTGCTCAAGGTCCTTGGCCTCTTGCTTTCCAGGCGAAGAGAGACTACAGTGTTTGGAATGTAGCTGTGATATGGAAAATGTTAGTTTCAGCCGTCATTGTCTCAAACAGGCTGTAAGCAGCTCTGGCTGTAAGCAGTCCTCCTGTGAGCAAGCAGTGAGAGCTCACAGCCGATGTGTAGTGGGAGCAGTGAGTGATTTCTATCAAAAGCTTGGCCAGAGGGACTCTGTTTGGAAGCTGGCTCCATCTGACCGTTCTGTACCCTAACTATATGTGCATGTGCCTATCTCCCATCTCACCAGCAGGGTTGTTTTTTTCCTTTTCTCTTGAGATTTGGTATAGGGTGTATGTGCTTGTATGCACAAGAGAGATGGAGAGAGGGAAAGCAAGAAAGCACCTCTCAGGTGGGATGTCCATGCTATAAACCTTTTTCCTCCATTCTCTTCTTGGGATTTTGGGCACACGCACATATGTGGCAGATGTGTTTTTCAAACCGCTGAGTCTGGGAGTCGAACCATTCTGTAGGCCATGCGGGATCTAGCCATCCTAACCATCATGCCACTGGCTGCCCCCAGATTCTATTTGTAATAGAAATGGACAAGCTGAGTTGTTGAAAGATAAAGGGCTCTGGTGGCCACTAGTTAGCCCTACCATTTACTCGCTATGAATAACCTTCGATCAAATTTCTTAGCCTTTTCTTAATCTATAAAAAGGGAATAAAAATAGTGTCTACTTTTACTGGGTTTCTTAGATGATTAGCTGAAATAATGCATATAAAGTGTGTAGAGAAGAGTTTGGCACATGGTAGGCCTTCAAGTGTTCTGTCATTCTTCACTTTTCTTCCTTGACTAATTTGAGACATGCAGAAACAGCAAGGATGAGCCTCCGGAGACCCAGGTGGTCTCCCTGAGTCCTTGCCCAGATCTGACCTGCTGCCCGCTTTGCACTTCCCTGTCCTGTGGCACGGGGACATGCCTGGGGCTGCCACTCTCCAAATGCCAGGTGGGACGTGGTGCACAGGTCTTCTCGAGTCTTCTGAATTTAAAGGGGCGTTTCATCACCTTCCTCTGTCCCGACCAACGTGGTGAAGCTGGCATGGAACGTGAGGTTACTACAGTGTTCAAATCGTTTTTCTTGGGAACAGCAGTTAGAGTAAAGGCTATGTCTCAGAACTTCATGGTTTGAGTCTTGGGCCCGGTGGCTTAAATTCACTCTGGGCACGTGTGCGTGCGTGCCCAAGATCCCAAGAGGAGAATGGTCAGCCATGTGGGAGTGCCCAGCACCTTAACCACCACGCCACCTGCTGGTTCCACCTTCCCCCTTCTTGAGCTGGCAGTTTAAGATATAGTAAGAGGGGTTATGAGGGGAGATAGGGTGGTAGAGGGGAGGAATATTCAGAGCTTTCCCTGGGAAAGTGGGGACTTTGGGAATAAAAATCGGCCGCCTTTTCCTCTCTATAATTTCATTTCCGGCCATAACCATGGAGGTGGCAACTGTCATGGTGCCAGAAAGTGTGTCATCTCGCATGCTGAGGTAGCACAATGAGGGTATAAAGAGTTGGAGAGAACTCTCAGGAGAAAACATGGGGAATACACCTTTTTCTTGATTGGGCAAGATTTCTTAGCTATGATACCACAAACTTGATTTATAAAGAAAAAGTTAATAAATTAGGCCTACTCAAAATTAAAACCATTTTGCTTGCATAGAACGCTGTGAAGTGAATAGAAGCCAGTCGCCTGTACTGGGAGACCATATTTGCAAATCACACGTAAAATAAAGCACTTGTGTTTAAAATATACAAAGAGCTCTTGAAACTCAAACCAAACCAAACACATTTTAAAAATGGGCAAAAGATTTGAATGGACTTCACCATAGAGATTATCAGGATGGCAAACAAGTAACTGAAAACAACGTTCGACATTGTTAGTAATTATGGAAATGCAAATTAGAGCCATAATAAAATGTCCTCACATGCCCATTAGGGTGGCTACATTAAAAATATTGACTATGGGGACCGGCAGTTGGGGTAATGGCTATATTGCTGGACTCCCATGCAGTTGACTGTGGTTCAAGTCCCAGGCCCGGTGGCTTAAACTCACTCTGGGCATGTGTGCGTGCGTGCCCAAGATCCCGAGAAGAGAATGGAGGAGAAGGGAATGCGGCATGACCATCCCCCCAGGGGGTGATTTCGCTCTGTCTCTCAGTCTCTCTCTGTCTTTCTGGTGAGTGCACGTACCCTATAGCAAAAACCTCTCAAAAAAAAAATACTGATTATGAAGTGCTGAGCATACGTAGTAACTCGGATGCTCATACATTTCTAGTAGAGGTGAAAAATGGTACAGCCACTTCGGAAAGCAGCTTGGCAATTTCTTGAATAAGTTAAGCATACATTTACCACATGATCCAGCAATCCCACTTCTAGGTATGAATCCTAGAGAAGTGAAAACTGATAGTCTCTCAAAGGTGTGTGTGTTTATACACGGGGTCTTTGTGACGGAAACTGCATATGATGAAAAAACTGTATGGATTTCCAAATTTTCCCCCAAAATAAACTTGTAAATTAATTCCATTTTCTAAGAAATGTTTGAAGCCATCCTATCTATCTTATCCATCACCTACCTATCCAAAATCGATCTCTGTCTGATCTACATATTTACAGCAGAATTCCCTGTAATCATCAGGAACAGGAGGTGGGGCTTGGTAGCAGCCTGTACTAACACAGTTGGCCAACCTGGGTGAGGCCGTGGGTTCACACCCTCTGAGCAGCTAAGCACAAGCGTGCACGGGTCAGTGAGCTGGACTGGCTGAGTCTGGGAGTGGGTTATGGCGTGAGCACCTCGTTGGAAGTACTGTTTCTTTCTTTGTCTCTTTTGTGGAAGAAATACATGAAAACAAACAAACAAACAAACAAGACACTGGAAAGACCATGCCGTCTGTTAACAAATTGTAGTTCCACCACACAATGAAATACTTTCAGCAATTAAATGAATAAACTATTCATTTTTACAACATGAGTGAATTTCAGATGCATCATGTTAAGTGAAAGACCCCTGTGTTGGGGTCAACAGGTAGCGTGGTGGTTAGGGTGTTGAACTTCCACATGGCCAACCATGGCTTGAGTCCCGGACCTGGCAGTTTGCTTACTTTCCCTCTCTCTCTCTCTGTGTCTCTGGTAAATGCCCATGCCCTATAGAAAATTAAAAAAACAATAACATTTAAATATATAATTCCTTTTTTTTAAAAGATCTGTATTGAATGATTTCATAATATTCTAGTCTATTAAATGATATTCTGAAAAGGGGAAAAATATAAAAACAGAGACTGAGGAGTTAGGGTTAGTGGTTTAAATACAATAGATCTATTATTGGGGCCAGTGGGTGGCACGGAGGTTAAAGTAGCTGGATCCGACACGGCCCACTGCATGGTCTGAAACTCAGACACGGCAGCTTGAACAACCTCTGGGTGCATGTGCATGCTCAAAATCCTGAGGAAAATGGAGAAGGGATTGCAGCATGACCATCCCCCTTGGGGGGTGATTTCGTACTTTCCCTCGCTCTCTTTCTCTTGCAAGTTAATACTAATAAATAAATTAAGTAATTCTTTAAAAATGTTTACTCATGAGAAAAGCAGATTTTACTCATTTGGAATGAAAAGACTGTAAGAAAATAATATCTGCCTCGCTGGGTTGCCATTGGCATTCATTATGATAGGAGGGGGTGACTGACAAGTAGCTGCACCTGTTTATCCAGGGAGCACAGAAGTTCTGAGCAGAGGTGCTCGGGAGCAGCCCGTGTTAGGTCCTGCTCTGCCATCTACTGGTTCGTGACTGTTCTGTGCATCAGCGTTTCCTTAAAATGGAGCAATGATTTTTACCTATCGGTAGGATGTTTAAGCAGATTAAATGAGTTAATATTGGTGAGAAATGAATGAATGGTCACTGTTACTGTTAACGTCATTCATTGGTTTTTCTACACTGATTTCTGTAGGAGACGACCTGGAGCCGTGTAGTGTGAGTCCCTGACCGCCACGTGTAGGTTCCTGAAAGGCCTCCACTGCCATTCGCCTATGATGACGGATGGCAGCTATGAGAACAGTCAGGAAACAGGAACTGTGGAGCTGTTTGGGGTTCCTAATGATTCCAGAAAGAGGCAGTATGGAGAGCTGGTCCCAGCAGAGGCCTTCCTTTAATAAAGAGTTTTTGGTCTGTTATCTGGCAGCATGACCATCCCCCTTGGGGGGTGATTTCGTACTTTCCCTCGCTCTCTTTCTCTTGCAAGTTAATACTAATAAATAAATTAAGTAATTCTTTAAAAATGTTTACTCATGAGAAAAGCAGATTTTACTCATTTGGAATGAAAAGACTGTAAGAAAATAATATCTGCCTCGCTGGGTTGCCATTGGCATTCATTATGATAGGAGGGGGTGACTGACAAGTAGCTGCACCTGTTTATCCAGGGAGCACAGAAGTTCTGAGCAGAGGTGCTCGGGAGCAGCCCGTGTTAGGTCCTGCTCTGCCATCTACTGGTTCGTGACTGTTCTGTGCATCAGCGTTTCCTTAAAATGGAGCAATGATTTTTACCTATCGGTAGGATGTTTAAGCAGATTAAATGAGTTAATATTGGTGAGAAATGAATGAATGGTCACTGTTACTGTTAACGTCATTCATTGGTTTTTCTACACTGATTTCTGTAGGAGACGACCTGGAGCCGTGTAGTGTGAGTCCCTGACCGCCACGTGTAGGTTCCTGAAAGGCCTCCACTGCCATTCGCCTATGATGACGGATGGCAGCTATGAGAACAGTCAGGAAACAGGAACTGTGGAGCTGTTTGGGGTTCCTAATGATTCCAGAAAGAGGCAGTATGGAGAGCTGGTCCCAGCAGAGGCCTTCCTTTAATAAAGAGTTTTTGGTCTGTTATCTGGAGTTGGCGAGCAACTTCTGTGTTTGTAAATGGACTGCCTGGCCATCATTTCTGCAGCCTTCCCATTTCCCCAGCCTAAGGAAGGTCGTGTCCCTGCCCACCTCGCTCCCTCCTCCCCTCCGCTACTTGAGAATGGTAGCTTAAAGTCAACGCAGGCCAACTGGCCGGCTGCTGCATCAGGTGCTGGGTCGGCTTCTTGAAATGTTACCCCAAGGGTTTGAGAGACTGCTTTGGTTAGTGCCCAGAGGACCTGGCTCCTGTGATTTTATAGCTTGTAAGAAGCCCGGGTGGCCCCATTGGCTTTGGAGAGGGAGAGAAAGAGCACCTCTACTTGGAGATGCTCCCTCCAGGGGGATGGCCACACCATAGTCCCTTCTCCACTCTCCTCTTAGGATTTGGGCAAGAATACACATGCACCTGTCATGTTTTTCTTTTTTCATTTTTTCAATTAAAAAAATTTTTAGGGGAGATTTTTGTTATAGGGTGTGTACACTAGCTGGAGAGACAGAGAGAGAGAGAAACAGAAAGTGAGAAATCACCTCCCAGGGGCGATGGCCATGCTGTGATCCCTTCTCCTCCACTGTCCTTTTGGGATTTCAGGCACGTACGCACGCCCAGCGTGAGTTTTATACTGTTGGGCAGTTCAGCCTTGTGGAATCTAGCTGCCTTACCCACCACGCCACCTGGCTGGCCTTCATTTATTTATTTATTTTTTAGGTTCTTTTTGCTATAGGGTGCATGTGCTCATGGGAGAGAGACAGAGGGAGAGGGGAAGTGAAAAATCTCTCCCGGAGGAGGGTAGAGGGAAGTTGGCCATGCTACAATCCCTTGTCCTCCATTCTCTTTCTGGGACTTGGAACATGAGCACACATATGTGCCTGGCGCGATTTTCAAGTTCCCAGGTCCAGGACTCGAACCAATGAGTAGGTCATGTGTGATTCAGCTGCCTTCTTCCATATTCTCTCAACTTTTTGTATGGTCATTCTTTTTTTATTTTGAGAGATTTTTGCTATAGGGTGTGTGCACTTGCCAGAGAGACAGATACTCAGAAATCACCCCCAGGGAGATAGATGACCACGCCACAACCCCTTCTCCTCCATTCTCCTTTCAGGATCTTGGATATGCACGCACATGTGCCTGGCATGAATTTTAAGCTGCCAGGTCCTGGACTTGAGACTATGTGGAGTCCAGCGATGTACTCATTACGCCATCTGCTGGTCCCCGGTCATTCTTTTTAATTTTATTCATTCTAATGTGGTTTTGTTTTTATTTTATTTTTAAAGATTTATTTAATTAATTTATTTTCATTATTTTTCACATGAGTTTTCCCAGATAAAAACAGAGAGAGAGTAGGAGAATGAGAAGGCAAGCTGCCAGGTCTGGGACTAGAACTGTGGTTGGTCATGTGGGAATTCCATAGCCACGCCACCTGCTGGCCCCCATTTTAATGTGTTTGGTATTAATTTGTTGTTTCCCTAATGACAAGTGATGTATCTTTTTTTTTTTCTTTTTTAATATTGTCCGAGGGCAAGAGCACTTGCCAGAGGGAGAGAGAGAGAGAGAGTGGGAAAGTGAGGAAGCCCTTGACACAAGGCGCGGTCACGCGCAGGCCTTCCCCCCCCCCCCCCCCCCCCCCCCCTTTAGGGTTACGCGCACACGTGCCCAGTGCTTTTCTCAAGCCTCCAGGCTGGGACTCAGCCACACAGTGAGCTGTGTGGAATCCAGCTGCCTTAACCGCCACACTGTGGGCTGGCCCTGCTGGGTATCCTTTTTTATTTTTAAAAACATTCATTTATTTTTTATTTTGTTTATTATTATCATTACTTTAAGATTTGCTATACGGCATGTGCATTCACCAGAGAGAGACAGAGAGAACAAATGAGAAAGCAAGCCACCAGGTCCGGCACTGGAACCGCAGTTGAGCATGTAGGAGTCCAGGACGTGGCCTACGCCATCTGCTGGCCCCAGATCTCGTTTTTAATACCGCTTTTCAGTAAAAGGATCCAGCGCTCATTGGAGAAGTGACTGATTGTAGGTCTGAGGCAGAGGCGATGAACCTGGGGCATTTTGTAGTCCAGAAAGTAAGGAAGAGCAGTGAGACTGCCTAGAAAAGCTTGATCCTGGGCCAGTTGGTGGGTGCGGTGACTAAGGCAGGTGGGCCGCAGGTGGCTGGCTGTGCAGTTTGAGTCCTGGACCCAGTGGCTTGAAAAACACACTCACTGCATGTGTGTGTGTGCCCCCCCAAAGTGCGGCTTAACTGCATCCCAGAACAAAGTTTCGGGTCCAAGGCTCGAAGTGGGATTTGGCCACCTTAACCCCGGTGCCACTGGTGGGCTCTAGGTCGTTATCTTTTATCGCCAGGTGTTCGATAGCCACTACCTCGAAAACCGTTGTTTCGTGTATTATTTTCTGGCTTTCTGATTTGTCAGATGGGGGTGTAAACCCATTTCCTGTCCCTCCATCGTGCTGGAAGCTCAAGTGCTATTACCTTTGATTACTTTTCTTTCGAAACCCACAGTGGACAAAACCTTGTGTAGCAACAACCAGCAGCTAGAGTGCGTCCTCGCCTTGTGATTGCTTTGCTTCTCAAAGTGAGTCTGAGGTGTCAGGTCATCCCCAGTTTACAGACAGGGGGACAGAACCTGGGAGAGGTGAAGGAACTTTTCCAAAGGGACATGATCTATAAAGGCAGAGTTAGGATTAAGCCCTCCCGGGCCCTGTGTGTTTGGTGCTGTCCTTGCAGGTCTGAGGGGTGGAGACCACCACACGAAGTAAGTGTTGATATGTTGTTATTGTTTTATCACCAGAGGGCAGGCATGCTTGCCAGAGAGGGGCAGAGAGACAGAAAGGGAGAGGGAGAAAGTACCCCCCAATAATGCATGGTCTCGCCACAGTCCCTTCCCCATCTTTCCATCCTGTTGGGATGCTAGGCATGCACACACGTGCCTGGTATGTTTTTCAAGCTGCCATAGCTGGGATTCAAACTGCGACTACTCACATGGGATCTGGGCTCCCTTAACCACTAGGCTATGTGGCTAGCTTGGCTTTATTTTTATTTTTAAAAGTTTTTCTTGTTTTTATTTTATTTTTTTGGTGGGAAAGAGGGGTAAATAGATGGCTCTAAGAGAACTACTCCCCTTTTTGTCTGACAGAGGACCCTGCAGGCTGGGAGAAATGACGGGGCCATGCAGGCAACACAAGCTGGTAAGGATGCTGCCTCCCATTCTAAGGCAGGGCCTGGACTGGGAAGAAACTGAGGCAGGGCCCAGTCTACGAGCTCTCCCTTGTGTCCTTGAACTGGCCGGTATTCACTTTCTCTGCCGTGAGTTTTACTGTTATTACGGTACCCTGTAAGGGTAAAACATCACCCCCAACCATTGCAATAAAGCCAATTAGTGATCTTGTAGGAATGTGGTTCCCTAAGACTGACAC